CGAGGTCGCTCAGTAGGTCGTTCTGATTTCAGTCTGAAGTCGGACGACCGTCTGACCGGTTGAACTCTCTGCCTTCGAGCGGGGAGGAACCCGAACGAGGCTACGCCGAAGTCTCTTTCGGGGAGGTAAACCAACCCTGAACCCGTTTATACGGGCTTTAAAAGGGCATATTTTTGGCCGAGCCCACGGGCTCGGAGATCCCACGTTAAACCGGCCTTGTGCCACATTATGCCCTCGTGGGGGGGGTAACTGAATACCGCTCAGTGAGTCGGTCAGTCAGTCGATGCTGGACGACCGTGAGTCGAATACTAAACTATCAGCGACCACAACTAGATATCTCTGCGTCATACCTATTATATGAAGTTTCTAACGTTTTGTACGTCGAACCTGTTTTAGGACCGACTTAGTACAAATACAAGCCTCCACTGTGAAATCACTCCGTAACATTCACATACACTGTCTAGGATATTCTCAGCATCCTTCTGCAGAAGTACATATATATATATATATATATATATATATATATATATATATATATATATATACTCCCTTTTCATTTTTAAAGAAACAATCTAGTGTCCACTTCCATACAGGAATGTATGTAGGAGTTCATTATTCACTTTTTACATTATATTGGTTACAAGAAATAAATGTATTTGTCTATATTTCTGAAATGAGGGATTATGTACACTACTTACATTATTCGGACTATTGTCCTCAACTTTGTCGCCATGTTTATCACAACGTTTCGACCGTTGTACGCTCCGGCCTTCTTCAGGTGGTTGGAATGTCAAACTGAACCCTTTATTTCGCTCGCTGGGGTAGACTGTTCTAGTTCCACGTGGATGTCAGTTATCAGTTATCTCCTGTTAATTCCGCTCTTCAAGTTCTCTACTGCCTTAACCAGGTATTGAACTCGCTTCGACATCCATGCCTTTATCCACTATGCCATGCGCCCTTGAGGATACATAACACAGTGGATAAAGGCGTTGTTTAGATCCAGTGACAGTACCCAAAGTGTGTGAGTTCAATACCTGGTTAAGGCGGTTGAGAACTTGCAGAGGGGAATTAACAGGAGATAATTGATAACTGACATCCATTAGACATGGCACGTGGAACTAGAACAGTCTACCCCAGCGAGCGGAGTAAAGGGTCCAGTTCGACTTTCCAACAATCTGAAGAAGTCCGGAGCGTAAAACGGCCTAAACGTTGTGATAAATATGGCAACAAAGATGACGACAATAGTCCGAATAATGTAAATAGTGTACATAATACCTCATCTCAGAAATATAGACAAATACATTTATTTCCTGTAACCAATTACATCGGAAATTACCTCATGGATGATAATGATCATTGATTTCAAACTTCTAAATAAAATATTTAAAAAGAAAATCCATCTATCTATCTATCTATCTATCTATCTATCTATCTATCTATCTATCTATCTATCACTATATATGTGTGTATGTGCGTGTGTATCTTTTTTGTGATCTATCTATCTATCTATCTATCTATCTATCTATCTATTATGATAATTTACCAATTTACGCATGGACTCTCCCAGTTATAAATAGGAGCAGGTACTGCCTTTTGGAGAGGGAAGTTTCTAGCAGTCAGCTCAAACAGTCGCATCGAACATTCTTGCTGTAACACTCTCGTTTGTATATGTTTGTATTACTGTTGCTGTTCATATATTTGTTTAACTCAGTTCCTCTCTTTGTGTTTTTATTTCTGGCCCTAAGAAGGCCACAACACTATCTATCTCTAAACTTATCCATATCTATCTATCTATCTATCTATCTAATATGCTTTATATTTTAATCTTAAGAGCCTAATTTAAAACGAAAATGGGACGTGATCTTTTGAACGTTGTCATGACATTCATTGAAAGATTTCGTCAAGGCGCGTGTTAATATGAATGGCACAATGCAAAAATATATTTGAAAGAAGCGAGTAAGGTATTATATACAAACCCAATAGAATTAGAACGAAGGGGGCAGTGATAGGAAGAGAGGAAGTGTGAAAAAGGAAGAGAAGGGGAAAAGTGAAAGCAGTGACAGATGACGCGATATCTTATTTTGAGTTATGAAGCAAATCAAAATTCGTCACATTGCTTCTGATTAATTCCATCTTTTCATAATAAGTTTACTTTCAGTCTGCGAATATCTATCTATCTATCTATCTATCTATCTATCTATCTATCTATCTAAATCTTTTCGTATCGATCTAATTCTATTCATATCTATCAATCTACCTATCTGTATGTATGTATATGTGTCTGTCTATCTATTTATCTAAATCTATTCGTATCGATCTATCTCATTCTATTCATATCTATCTATCTATCTATCTATCTATCTATCTATCTATCTATCTCAATCGATTTATATAAACAAGTTAACCAAAAATGTCCTTCCTTGCAGTTTTTTTTATTTATTTAAAAAAAAGAGATACACAAAATTTGGCATACCATTAGTCCTCCCAGTAATCCCCTGCACTTTCTGCCAACGTGCCTCCAGCTGAGCAGTGTCCTGGCGGCAAAAAGCAGGTGTCTTGGACGCCAAGAAATCTGTCAATGTTTTTCGCAAGTCTGCTTCATTTGGCGGTTGGGAATTAAAGAAGTGGTAACCTGTTGGCTCATGGTCCTGGAAATACGGCGGATGGCACAGTGTCTCCCAGCCAAATCGTCATATAGTATCCCTGGACATCAGCTCCATATGAAGTTTGGCATTGTTATAGGGGAACAATACACACTTGCGATTAACCAATGCTGGCTCCTCCTGCTTCAGTGCCTCTTGCGCACGTTCCAACTGTGTGTACAGGTCCGCAGTGCCGGGTTGACAAGGAGATCATGATCTTCCGTGGGTGTAGAGATGGTCTTCAGTATCTGTCTATATTTCTGAGATGAGGTATTATGTACACTATTTACATTATTAGGACTATTGTCCTCATCTTTGTCTCCATATTTATTACAACGTTTCGGCCTTTCAGTATCTGTCTATATTTCTGAGATGAGGTATTATGTACATTATTTACATTATTCGGACTATTGTCCTCATCTTTGTCGCCATAATTATTAGAACGTTTCAGCCGATGTACGCTCCGGCTTTCTTCAGGTGATTGGAATGCCGAACTGAACCGTTTATTTCGCTCACTGGGGTAGACTGTTCTAGTTCCACGTGCCATGTCTAATGGATATCAGTTATCAGTTATCTCCTGTTAATTCCCCTTTGCAAGTTCTCCACTGCCTTAACCAGGTATTGAACTCACACTTTTTGGGTCCTGTCACTGGATCTAACCAACGCTTTTATCAACTGTGTTATGTTTCCTTGAGGACATCTGTGTATGAATGTCTGGGTATTATAAAACTAATGTCTTCAGCAACCCTTTTTACTAGTGCTCATATTGCAATTTTTGCTGTTATCATTGCATGTTTTAATCAGAGCTCATATTGACAAACATGGAACTAGAAGAGTCTACCGAAATAAAGGGTTCTGTTCGACATCCCAACAACCTGAAGAAGAACCACCCGAAACGTTGTAATAGAGGTGGTCTTGTTGTGTGATATGGTGATAACTAATGCCTTTCACACTTGGGATGACGCACTTTCCGTTACAGGCGAGCACTCAATCAAATGCCGAAAAAGCAAGCGTTCGGCAAGCTGACCACATGTTTGGCTGTTGTCCTCTATGGCCGCCTTCAGACCCCCATTATCCAGAACCTGTGGCCAGACACTGGGTTAATTACAAAGGGATAAATACTCCGACCTGAATTCCTGGAACAAATGGATGTTGGTGTGCTCACTCGCAACATCCCCACAAGGTTTGACGTATTCGGTAACAAGCCCACCTTAAAGTCATAGAGCAGACCATCCCGAGCCGGCTGCTTCGACACCGTTGTTTTCCCTCACCGCGGCTCGAGTTACGACATAGTGCACGTGTAAAGAGCAAAGAACCACCATCGATTTCCCGGCAATTGATGCTCTCTTTGCGTATCAGTAATCAGTTCTACCCACACAACATAAAAAACGGCAAAGACTTTGTTGGCTACCTTCTATTAAGAAAGAGGAAAATCTCGCGAGAAACTTAGTAAAGAATACCGAAATTATACGTAATATCAGTGCTCTATGGCAGTGAATGCTGGACAATCTCCTCACAGATGAAGAAGAGACTTGAAGCGACAGAGATGTGGTTCTACTGACGAGTATCCTTAGAAACAAAGAAAAAAGTGTTGGACGGCTATGTAATATCTAATCTCCTATATGGCAGTGAATGCTGGACAATCTCCTCACAGATAAAGAAGAGACTTGAAGTGACAGAGATGTGGTTCTACTGACGAGTATCCTTAGAAACAAAGAAAAAAGTGTTGGACGGCTATGTAATATCTAATCTCCTATATGGCAGTGAATGCTGGACAATCTCCTCACAGATGAAGAAATAGAGACTTGAAGTGACAGAGATGTGGTTCTACTGACGAGTATCCTTAGAAACAAAGAAAAAAAGTGTTGGACGGCTATGTAATATCTAATCTCCTATATGGCAGTGAATGCTGAACAATCTCCTCACAGATGAAGAAGAGACTTGAAGCGACAGAGATATGGTTCTACTGACGAGTATCCTTAGAAACAAAGAAAAAAGTGTTGGACGGCTATGTAATATCTAATCTCCTATATGGCAGTGAATGCTGGACAATCTCCTCACAGATGAAGAAGAGACTTGAAGCGACAGAGATGTGGTTCTACTGACGAGTATCCTTAGAAACAAAGAAAAAAAGTGTTGGACGGCTATGTAATATCTAATCTCCTATATGGCAGTGAATGCTGGACAATCTCCTCACAGATGAAGAAGAGACTTGAAGTGACAGAGATGTGGTTCTACTGACGAGTATCCTTAGAAACAAAGAAAAAAAAAGTGTTGGACGGCTATGTAATATCTAATCTCCTATATGGCAGTGAATGCTGGACAATCTCCTCACAGATGAAGAAGAGACCTGAAGCGACAGAGATGTGGTTCTACTGACGAGTATCCTTAGAAACAAAGAAAAAAAGTGTTGGACGGCTATGTAATATCTAATCTCCTATATGGCAGTGAATGCTGGACAATCTCCTCACAGATGAAGAAGAGACTTGAAACGACAGAGATGTGGTTCTACTGACGAGTGTCCTAGAAACAAAGAAAAAAGTGTTGGACGGCTATGTAATATCTAATCTCCTATATGGCAGTGAATGCTGGACAATCTCCTCACAGATGAAGAAGAGACTTGAAGCGACAGAGATGTGGTTCTACTGACGAGTATCCTTAGAAACAAAGAAAAAAAGTGTTGGACGGCTATGTAATATCTAATCTCCTTTATGGCAGTGAATGCTGGACAATCTCCTCACAGATGAAGAAGAGACTTGAAGCGACAGAGATGTGGTTCTACTGACGAGTATCCTTAGAAACAAAGAAAAAAGTGTTGGACGGCTATGTAATATCTAATCTCCTATATGGCAGTGAATGCTGGACAATCTCCTCACAGATGAAGAAGAGACTTGAAGCGACAGAGATGTGGTTCTACTGACGAGTATCCTTAGAAACAAAGAAAAAAGTGTTGGACGGCTATGTAATATCTAATCTCCTATATGGCAGTGAATGCTGGACAATCTCCTCACAGATGAAGAAGAGACTTGAAGCGACAGAGATGTGGTTCTACTGACGAGTATCCTTAGAAACAAAGAAAAAAAGTGTTGGACGGCTATGTAATATCTAATCTCCTATATGGCAGTGAATGCTGGACAATCTCCCCTCACAGATGAAGAAGAGACTTGAAGTGACAGAGATGTGGTTCTACTGACGAGTATCCTTAGAAACAAAGAAAAGAGTGTTTGACGGCTATGTAATATCTAATCTCCTATATGGCAGTGAATGCTGGACAATCTCCTCACAGATGAAGAAGAGACTTGAAGCGACAGAGATGTGGTTCTACTGACGAGTATCCTTAGAAACAAAGAAAAAAGTGTTGGACGGCTATGTAATATCTAATCTCCTATATGGCAGTGAATGCTGGACAATCTCCTCACAGATGAAGAAGAGACTTGAAGTGACAGAGATGTGGTTCTACTGACGAGTGTCCATAGAAACAAAGAAAAGAGTGTTGGACGGCTATGTAATATCTAATCTCCTATATGGCAGTGAATGCTGGACAATCTCCTCACAGATGAAGAAGAGACTTGAAGCGACAGGGATGTGGTTCTACTGACGAGTGTCTTTAGAAACAAAGAAAAGAGTGTTGGACGGCTATGTAATATCTAATCTCCTATATGGCAGTGAATGCTGGACAATCTCCTCACAGATGAAGAAGAGACTTGAAGCGACAGGGATGTGGTTCTACTGACGAGTGTCTTTAGAAACAAAGAAAAGGGTGTTGGACAGCTATGTAATATCTAATCTCCTATATGGCAGTGAATGCTGGATAATCTCCTCACAGATGAAGAAGAGACTTGAAGCTACAGAGATGTGGTTCTACTGACGAGTATCCTTAGAAACAAAGAAAAAAGTGTTGGACGGCTATGTAATATCTAATCTCCTATATGGCAGTGAATGCTGGACAATCTCCTCACAGATGAAGAAGAGACTTGAAGCGACAGAGATGTGGTTCTACTGACGAGTATCCTTAGAAACAAAGAAAAAAAGTGTTGGACGGCTATGTAATATCTAATCTCCTATATGGCAGTGAATGCTGGACAATCTCCTCACAGATGAAGAAGAGACTTGAAGCGACAGAGATGTGGTTCTACTGACGAGTATCCTTAGAAACAAAGAAAAAAGTGTTGGACGGCTATGTAATATCTAATCTCCTATATGGCAGTGAATGCTGGTCAATCTCCTCACAGATGAAGAAGAGACTTGAAGTGACAGAGATGTGGTTCTACTGACGAGTATCCTTAGAAACAAAGAAAAGAGTGTTGGACGGCTATGTAATATCTAATCTCCTATATGGCAGTGAATGCTGGACAATCTCCTCACAGATGAAGAAGAGACTTGAAGCGACAGAGATGTGGTTCTACTGACGAGTATCCTTAGAAACAAAGAAAAAAGTGTTGGACGGCTATGTAATATCTAATCTCCTATATGGCAGTGAATGCTGGACAATCTCCTCACAGATGAAGAAGAGACTTGCAGTGACAGAGATGTGGTTCTACTGACGAGTGTCCATAGAAACAAAGAAAAGAGTGTTGGACGGCTATGTAATATCTAATCTCCTATATGGCAGTGAATGCTGGACAATCTCCTCACAGATGAAGAAGAGACTTGAAGCGACAGGGATGTGGTTCTACTGACGAGTGTCTTTAGAAACAAAGAAAAAAGTGTTGGACGGCTATGTAATATCTAATCTCCTATATGGCAGTGAATGCTGGACAATCTCCTCACAGATGAAGAAGAGACTTGAAGCGACAGGGATGTGGTTCTACTGACGAGTGTCTTTAGAAACAAAGAAAAGAGTGTTGGACAGCTATGTAATATCTAATCTCCTATATGGCAGTGAATGCTGGATAATCTCCTCACATATGAAGAAGAGACTTGAAGCGACAGAGATGTGGTTCTACTGACGAGTGTCCTTAGAAACAAAGATTCATTATTGGTGGCCACAAGATATGCCGATGTGACGGTCTTGATAGCAGACATAGATACAGAAACTGAAGAAAAACCCAAAACCATTTTGTTTCAATTCCCGACCTGAAATTCTGTAACCAATGTATGGTGGTGCGTATCCCGAAAGGTTTGACGTATTCGGCGATAAGCCCACCTTAAAGTCATAAAGTAGACCATCTCAAGCAAGCTGCTTCGACACCGCCATTTTTCCTCGCCACTGCTCGAGCTATGGCTGATGTGTGTACGCAAAGCACCAGCATTGGTCAAGAGCAATGCACCCACACTTACCAGCACGTGATGCACTCTTTTGTTTATCAGTTATCACTTCTTTTTACACGAAGTAAAAAATGACAAGGACTTTTTGTTTTAGCTTATATATATATATATATATATATATATATATATATATATATATATATATATATATATATATATATATATATACATACATAATGATGCAGATTCATTATAAATCCAATTAGGTTATAATTTATTTCATGGGATTAGGTGCCCATCCATTCGGAGCGAAATTTTACAAAAATAAATGTAGTTTAAATCTAGCCAGACAAAAATAAAATGGTTAGAAGAGAGAGAAAAGAAAAAAAAAGGGAAAAGTTTTAAAAATAAGTGTGGGAAAACAGAGATATCAAAATAAGTTTTTTAGGTGGAAAAGAAAAAAGAGTAGACATGGGGAGGGGAAATAGAAAGATAGTAAGAGAGGGAAAAAATTGTTAAACAGTCGACGGGTTGACCTTGAATATAATTCCTCTTCCCCGTATCTGACAAGTAAAAATTGAGTGATCATATTCAAAAAGATACATTGAGGTGTCTATTCATTGCTGGTAGTGGAACATCGTCATCTCATTATTACCGTTATAATTAAAAAATTGATGATTATGATGATAATAATAATAATAAAAAATATTACCATTAGAAAATTTGACATCAAAATAAAAAAGAAAAAATTAATACAAAACTCCGATTAAATCAATAAAGAGATAAGTAAAAACCATTTTATGTAACTAAAAACATAAAATTGCAAAGACATATATATATATATATATATATATATATATATATATATATATATATATATATAAATAAAAAAAGACACGCATATATACATATATATATATACGTTTTTTAAGCTCATTTTTAAAATCATTTCACCCCAAGCAAGGGATTAAAGCCACTAAGACGCAATTGGTTACTGAGAGTGAGAGAATATGAGAAGAAGATTTAATTATGAAAGAGAAAGAACAATCAGAATAAAGTAGATAACGATTAACATTGCATTTAAAATTTTAAAGATCAAAGTTGACTGTAAAGTAGAAAAACCGGAAGAGGATTCCACAAGCGAGAAGTGTCAGAGAAGAAACTGTTCGCATAGAACTTACGGTTCTACCTAGCCATTTCAATTGAATAATGATCAAGCCATCTTGTTGGAAACTGGATAAATAAATAAATGCTAAAGTAAAAATATAAATAAACAATGGCTAATAATGTTATTGAATCGACCATAGTCGGGATCATCGAGTCAATGCAAACGACCCTTTCCTTAGCTGTATAATATGTGCTTCGCCAATGCGACATACAGTTTTGATTTCAGAGATTTCCTTCTCCTAGACCAGTTGCCATCCAAGGCTATAGAACTCAGTCTATTAAGGAGTCGACCATAGTCGGGATCATCGAGTCAATGTGAACGATCCTTTTTTTTAGCTGCATAGAATGTGCTTCGCTAATGCTACATACAGTTTTGAATTCAGAATTTTCCTTCCCCTTGACCGGTTGCCATTTAATATATAATCCAATCTGAGTGGAAAAGAGATAAATTCATAACTTTCCCAGGGGTATTAGATCGTAAGTGAATATAACAGACTCAACTTGAATTCGAATCTCTGATTCCTCAAACCGAACCGCAATCCATTGCTCTACCGTATACTGTAGTAAATCTACTCTATTAATGTGTAAATGGTTCAAAGATTTACATTTTGTTATTTGTTCTATTAAAGGTGTTGATCAATTGTTAATAATTTTATTACATTGTTATTGAAGTAAAAAAGTGATTCTAGTTTTTGCATAATACGTCAAAACTGCAGTTTTTATAATAAATCCAATAACTTAAAAAAAAAACAGGTTGAAGCTATCTAAAAAATTAACTGAAGTTTTTTTGACGTCTAAATTAACCGTTTAAAATTTGACAAAGATTTATCAAAGCAAACTCAAGGTATTGAGGTTTTATTTGATTTGCATAATAATATCAGATGGGCTGTAGCAGAATATTCATATAAGAGTTTAGCAAGAACGCCGCCATATTGAATAACATCTGAAAATAATTAATAGCCGCGCTTTTAATATCAATTTACATGCATGATGTTTCCTGTGCACATTGTGTCTAATTTTCTTCTTTTCTGTCTCGCTATGAAATAATCAGGCTTGATTAAAATGGCGGTAAAAATAACTGAAGCGTTTATTGGTTCTAATAAATTGTGATTACGGCATCAGCTAATCTACCGACGTCTTAAATTAGTGACATCAATTTAGCTCATCAGCGCAATCTCCTTGATTTTGAAGTGGGCAATTAATTCATCCACTGCCATCGGGTCACATCGATCGAAAATATGATTTTTAGAATTGATCATGTTTGCTTAATTGATTAACGCTAGAAAAAAGAATAGACGCATTGTTCGAGTTTCGACAAATAATAATCGGGCTGTCCCATAATCTTTGTTATATTTAGTATAGAAAACGTGAATAAAAGTGTATCAGATATTATGGGACTGGAGCCCTTTCTAATTGTCTCAAGGTCCTTGATAAAATCCAAAGACGGATATGCAATGTAATTGGCCCTGATCTGGCATCTCGTCTGCAGTCGCTCTCTCACAGACGTGCCGTTGTATCCCTCCGTTTTTTTTAGTTTTTTTTTTTTACAAATACTTTCATGGTAACTGCTCCGATGAGCTGCTTTCGCTGGTTCCCAGACTTCATGAATTTAAGCGTTCACCTAGGCTGGCATCTCTCTCTCACCCTTTCACTGTCGAAACTGTTAAATGTAGCCGTCTCTTCTACTCCAATACCTTCATATCTCGCACCTCTCGCCCGTGGAACTCACTCCCCATTTCTTGTTTTCCTGATAACTATAATCTCCAACTATTCAAATGCAATGTCAATCGACGTCTCCAGATGCCCTTATCTATCCCCTATCCTTCTCTTCATCCTTTCCTCTATTTCCGCCATTAATCTTTATATTCTATTTCTCTATTCTTTGATTCTTTTTTATCTATCTATCTATCTATCTATCTATCTATCTATCTATCTATCTATCTCAGTCTCCGCTCCTACTCTGAAACCCTTTGCGTACTAGTGGCTTCCCGCCTTGCTTGAGGTTGAATGCTTTAAAAAAAAAGATATTGTAATAAATATAAAAAACTACTTCTGTCCCACAATTGTTGTACATTTACTGTATGAAATGAGAATAAAATTGTACCAGCTCTTATGGGACTTCTTTTTCTGTGTCGTATCCTTTTAGTATGCTAACGATCATGGCTTACCACAACATCCTATATTCTGTAGCTTTTAGTAAGTTTTCTGGTTTTGCAATCTCCCCAGCCACTTACATGTGTGCAAGCTTGTTATGTAGTTGACTTGCTGTTTTCCTTTGTATTGCTGTTCTTAAAGATGTCTTATGTGTGCCATATTTTCTAAACCTTCTTTGCTTATTAAGGGCTTTAAAAATTTCTATTTTGAATCTTTCTTATTCTAAATTTTTATTTTCATTTTTTTTTCTAAAACTTCGACGTTGCTCACATGTTTTCTCAATGGTAAACGCAGCATCCGTCAGAAGAGACACATTTCTCTGGCTTCAAGTCTCTTCTTCATCTGTGAGGAGATTGTCCAGCATCCACTGTCATATAGGAGATTAGATATTACATAGCCGTCCAATACTCTTTTCTTTGTTTCTAAGGACAGTCGTCAGTAGAACCACATCTCTGTCGCTTCAAGTCTCTTCTTCATCAGTGAGGAGATTGTCCAGCATTCACTGCCATATAGGAGATTAGATATTACATATCTGTCCAACACTCTTTTCTTTGTTTCTATGGACACTCGTCAGTAGAACCACATCTATGTCGCTTCAAGTCTCTTCTTCATCCATGAGAAGATTGTCCAGCATTCACTGACATATAGGAGAACCGATATTGCATCCAGTACACTTTTCTTTGTTTCGAACAATTTTGCTTAGCTTTTGGAAGGCACCTTTTTCTCTCCCCTGTTAAAACACTTCCCAGATATTAAAATTGTTGTACTTGCTTGATTTTGGTATTATCAGAACGTACTTCGCATCTTTTTTCCCTTGCTGTCAACCATACATTCTATCTTACAATTGATGGTTAGTCCTTTATTCTCGCCTTCCTTCTCTACCTTCAGTAAGAGAATCTTTAGTTTCTTTTTTGCGTCTGCTTTCAACATTGTTAAGATTGTGATAGGACTTCTAGATCTTTCAAAATCGCTTCAGTGTATGGAGTAAATAAGTCCGGCTCACTGGTATTGTTACAATTTTCGTACGCTTCCGCGGAGTAACGTCCATCGCAGATAATAACCGGAGGACAACTAATCGACAGTCAGGACAATAGTGTCTGGATGTGATAAAAATCTGATGCAATCATGGATGACGCAATATTTTTCAAGGACAAACAAATGTCATCATACACCCACAAAATAAACTCATACTACTGCAAATCAGTGTAAATGACCTAATGGGAGGAAAAAATAGAAATCGATTATATCCTGTCACCCTACTGGATCTAAAACTGACTGTATGGTGAAAGAAAGGAAACTAAAGCAGTTGTTTCAATTAATTTGCACAAA